TAATATTTATATACAATTTTTTAAATAGGTACAATATGAATACTTTATAAAGATGTTAAAATATGTATAAAAATATGTAAAAATCATTTAATAATTTTATATTTGTTAAAGTGATGAAAATTCTGGAACACAATCCATCGTGCGTAATAAAAGAAAATCATCGTGTGAAGGATTATAATACGCGAAAATGAAAAATTATTATTATTTGAATGTACAAAAAATATTCGAAAAATTTAGTTTTTAAGATAGATATTATTATTTTCGCAAAGCTCTTTTGTTTTTATTATACAATACAAAATGTATAAATGTCATTATTAATAAATTGTTAATTAATATATATTTTTTACAAATAAGATTTTTTAAAATAAAAAACTCCTCTATAAAAATACTTTTTGCATTTACTGTTTATTCTATATTATATAAATCTATATTAAATTCACAATTAAATCTTATATGAATTTTTTGTTATTAAAATACGATATAATAATTTAGAAAGTATATGTAATTTAAAAAGAGATACAATCATGAATTTAAATTCTGTCGTAATATTTTTTAAAAAAAGACTAATAAAAAAGTTCGAGTCTGTAGTGAGTTTAAAAAATTTCCAAAACTCCAAAATAAGAATATTATTTTCTAAAATAGTGCAGTTAAAATTAAATTTCCTAAAATGGTAAATACCTTTGAAAATGAAGCAAATATAATCCTCGTTTTGTAAATAATTAAAGTTAAATCCCACTGTATTTATCGACTATCTAAAGTTCGTTCGATTAGAAAAGTTGCGGATTTAGTCTCAAACAGAATGAGTAAAAGCGCTATGTAGTAAGAAAACTTGAATTAGTTTGTCCACGATTTTCATATCAAACGCATCTCAAGGCAACATTCGTTTCATGCGGCGGGTGTTTTATAATGTTATAATATCCGCTTGTTACGATAATATTATGTACCTAGAGGAAACATGTCGATAATACCGGGTGACAACTACTCAAGATATGCAAAATGTAATATTCACTGAGTCACGATGCGAAACTCGTCGCTCAATAGTGCGCCTGTTTCGCTGACGTTTTCCGGGAAGTGTCTTTGGACGAGACCTACTTTCATGAAATAGAATTTGTGGCAAGTGTCCGCTCTCCATTCATTCGACCAATCATGCATCTTGAGATTAAGAATGAATTGGAAATAGAATATGTATAATTCACCCGTTCCGTATCCAAGTGATCGCATTGATAAATCTCTTCATATATAAAATTATTGATCAGAAAGAATAGTGGATAATTAGTTACAATCTGGCTCTACGCATGTTAATCTGATCTTGAATTTTTAGGTATCATAAGATTCATAAATATAATCGGTTTTTTATCGGACATTAACGCTGTCATTGCGTCGGTAAATAGATCGAACGGTCATCTACAGTATGTTATAAATAATACTGACAATTTACACATAGATTTACATTTCACATTGATATTTGTCATCTAAATACTAATCATTTATTTCCATGACTATAAATTTTAATAATTTGGACTTCTTTCTTTATATAATTTATATTTTTATTTGAACATTATACATTGTCAGATTTAACTAGTTTTCGCTTTAAACTAAGAATCCGTTACATAATTTCTTGAACATTAATTTCATGTATTTTATCATTAACAGATGTTTTGTACCTGCGACATTGTTTACAACTCTTGATTTAGCCTTTTATTGAAATTTGTCTTAATTTATTTGCTCTTTATGTTTCATATCCATATATTAGGTAATTAAGTCTTAAGCTACATTTACTTTATTTTTATTTTTACATTGGTTAACTTTGTTTTGTTGATGAAAACTTTTAAAGTCGAAACGTTCATGTACACTCTATGATAAGAGATTAAAACAGTTTTATATATATATATAT